TAGAAATACATAGTAAAGAAAGGCATACTGCATTTTTTTATGGAAATAAAAACAAAACAGCAATTGTGTCAGTGTAAGATATTTAACCCTTTGACTGTTTCAGGCCCCTCTCTGAAACTGTCATTCTATGTCGCTCAATTTTTGAAAAAAAAAAAAAAATTATTTTTTCTTATGAAATGATAGAGAATCTTTTCCCGATGGTAATGACACCAAAAGTTCGAAATTTGGTCGAAAACTCGTGGAATTATGCTCCCGCGAAGTTAGCGGTCTCGGCAACATATGCGTATCGGCGATTTCGCCGACTTTGAGCCCAATTTTCAGCCATTCCATTGTTCCAGTTGACCAAACTCATAGCTATTTCTTTAGAACTCCATTTTGTCTATCAGCTGAGTACAAGAAACCTCCCATTTACTAATTTGGACTACCCAATATGGTGGTCAGAAATTGGCAATTTGGCCAATTTCACGCAAAATAAAAAAGATGCCATTTCAAAATAGGGTCCAGAATAAACAAGGTAGACATTCGTGGCACTAAAATAACATATGCTCTGTTCATTAGTCACATCTCTAGGCCCCTCTTATATTATTATTGCTTTCTATTTTGATTTTTTATTCATACAAAAAAATACAAAATTTACTGTTATGCAGACGACTGCATTATTGTAAAAATGGTATAAATAATATCAGTGCACTAGTGAAAGAATATTAGACTCCCCAGTTGACGTGTATTGGACGTGTGGTGTGATTTATGTACTCTTGAACATTGGTAAAAATCGAACATTTCCGCTACTTTGAGCTCAGTTTCAAGGTCGTTTTCATCGTCAAAGTAATGAAAATCATCTCTATTTCTGTAATATGTTTTTCCATTTTATCACCTAAGACCATGAAAACGCGAATACAACGATAAATACTATACGAAAATACACCTCAAAGTCGGCGTTTTATTCCAAAAAAACGATCAGAGTTTTTTTTTTCTCATTACGCAATGTGTGCTGCAGGATTTTTTTTATGTGGTGCACACTGACCACACAGACCCATTCTCTCACATGTGGGCCTACCAGCTTTCTCCCACTTGATTTGAAGCCGCTAGAATTATTGAGTATATATACGTCAGAAACATTGGCTCGTAAGACGTATTTATACGTCGAAAACAGTCAAAGGGTTAATAGCCTTCAATTTCACAAGACTATATAGTACCTACATGGATGGTTGCTGTCTACCAACCTACCAGTAGTGTACCTAGTTTTACTTTCTCCATGTAGTGCTTACATGGATGACAATCATCAACTAGTGTAATACAGTAACTGAAATCCTTAATACAGAGCTCATTTCTTACGAATTAAAATATCCCTTATCAAGACAGGTTTACATTTGTGTTTTAGCTTGCCAGCCTTCTTTCACAGAGATAAGGTCATCCAAAAAAGAAGAAAAACACTTTCACCATCACTCATTCCACCACCGTCTTGGAACAGGCAAGCCAACATTGCAGTTCAGATGCCACTCCAAACTGCAACATCCTCACCCTCCCTTCAGAGTTCAGGCACTATGCTCCCTACCTCTAGGACTTGAGTCCAGCTAACTGGGTTCCCTGAATCCCTTTATATGTTACCATGCTCACACCAACAACACATTAAATCGCATGACTTGTGTTTTCCAGCCATGTGCAACAAATAGCCAAAATACCCACCTGAAACTCTGCAGTTGTGACCTGCTGCTGGGCTGAGGGTGTATATGTGGGAGGGTTGTTAGGTGTCGGGGTGACTACTGCAGGCTGTCCGCTCACCACACCGCCCCCCACAACAGGTTGAACATATGTGGGAGGGTTTCCAGCATTACCAACCTGGAAAATACAAATGCATTATTCACACAATGCCAATATCTGTTCCTGTAACAACTAAAGATTTCCAAAATCCATTGAAAATCAGTTGAAGACCTAACCACTTAAGTTTATAAAAACATGTAGCTGTAGAGTGCAGAGAGATCACATGACAGTCATACTTAGAAGATGGTAATAACACAAACTCACAGCAGTAATTACTTCATTACTTCAGTCATTATACATAAGAACATAAGAACGAAGGAACACTGCAGAAGGCCTACTGGCCCATGCGAGGCAGGTCCAAGTCTCCTACCGGCTTAAGCCAATGCACCCAACCTAGTCAGGTCAGGTCACATTGACTTAAGGGAGGAACACGGCAACCGACCTGGTAGCACAAGCTATCAGGTCCAACTCACACCCACCCACATCCACTCATGTATTTATCCAACCTATTTTTAAAGCTACACAACGTTCTGGCCTCTATAACTGTACTCGGGAGTTTGTTCCACTCATCCACAACTCTATTACCAAACCAGTACTTTCCTATATCCTTCCTGAATCTGAATTTTTCCAACTTAAAACCATTGCTGCGAGTCCTGTCTAGGCTAGATATTTTCAGCACACTATTTACATCCCCTTTATTTATTCCTGTCTTCCATTTATACACCTCAATCATATCTCCCCTAATTCTACGTCTTTCCAGAGTGCAGATTCAGGGCCCTTAGTCTATCCTCATAGGGAAGGTTTCTGATACATGGGATCAACTTTGTCATCCTCCTTTGTACATTTTCCAGAGAATTTATATCCATTCTGTAATACGGTGACCAAAACTGTGCAGCATAATCTAAATGAGGCCTAACCAAGGATGTATAGAGTTGAATAACAACCTGAGGACTCCTATTATTTATGCTTCTTGATATGAAGCCAAGGATTCTATTAGCTTTATTGCGAACACTTATGCACTGTTGTCTTGGTTTCAGATTACTGCTAACCAGAACTCCTAAATCTTTATCGCAATCCGTAATATTAAGATCTACATTATTTAGTTTATATGTGGCATGGTTATTGTCCTGTCCAACATTTAGAACTTTGCATTTGTCTATATTAAACTGCATCTGCCACTTCTCCGACCACTGCATCAGTCTATTCAAATCTTCCTGGAGTGCTCGAATGTCCTCGTCAGAATGAATTCGACGGCCTATTTTGGTTGTCATCGGCAAACTTGCCGATGTCGCTCTTTATGCCCTCATCTATGTCGTTTATGTAGATTGTGAACAGCAGGGGGCCCAACACTGACCCCTGTGGAACACCGCTCGTGACGCTTCCCCACTCTGATTTCTCCCCATTTATGCAAACTCTCTGCTGCCTATTTGTCAACCATGCCTCTATCCAGGATAAAATTTCTCCTCCTATTCCATGTGCTTTAATTTTCCTCAATAGTCTCTGATGTGGGACCCTGTCAAAAGCCTTACTGAAGTCCATATACACAATATCATATTCATTACCATGATCTACCTCCTCAAATACCTTAGTGAAAAAAGTTAATAAATTCGTAAGGCAGGAACGCCCCTTTGTAAAACCATGCTGAGATTCGTTGATTAATTTATGCTTTTCAAGGTGGCTACGAACTGCCTCGGCAATTATTGATTCCATAAATTTTCCCACTATGGAGGTTAGGCTTATTGGTCTATAGTTCGAAGCTAAGGACCTGTCACCTGTTTTGAAAATAGGTATCACATTTGCCATTTTCCACTTATCTGGCACTATGCCAGTTTGTAGTGATATGTTGAAAAGATTAGCCAAAGGTGTGCTAAGCTCCTCTTTACATTCCTTTAGAACCCTTGCATACAGTTCATCAGGGCCTGGGGATTTGTTAGGTTTTAATTTTTAATTTATGGTCACAAGTGACCATGTCACTTGTGACCCTAATCGTGCACAGTTTATTATCGTCCTGTTCTACATAATTTATCATTACTGGAATATCGCTGGTATCCTCCTGTGTAAAAACTGAGAGGAAGTATGTGTTAAAAATTCTACACATTTCCTTATCACTGTCAGTGAGCTGACCCGAGGAACTTTTGAGTGGGCCTATCTTGTCCCTGATCTTACTTCTGTATACCTGAAAGAATCCTTTTGGGTTAGTCTTCGATTCTCTTGCAACTTTAACTTCATAATCTCTTTTTGCTTTTCTAATTCCCTTTTTTATTTCTCTCTTTAACTGAATATATCGATTTCTTAATTGCCCCTCTCCTCTTTTGATTTGCCTATATATGCCTCTCTTTTGACCAATCAGATATTTTAATCTATTGTTCATCCATTTAGGATCATTTTTGTTTGATCGGATTTCCCTATTTGGAACATAATTTGACTGAGCAGCTAGAACTATGTCCTGGAAAGCATCATATCGGCAACCATCACCACCTACCTGACCCTTAGTCAGGTCATTCCAGTTCAACCCAGCTAAGTAATTTTTCAGTCCTATGAAATCAGCCAAGCGGAAGTCAGGGACAGAGACTTGATTGCCATTATTAGGGGAATTCCATGATATATTAAAACTGAGTGATTTGTGATCACTTTCCCCAAGCTCATCATTAACCTCAAGATTATTAATTAGTGTTTCCCTACTGGCAAGAACCAAGTCAAGGAGGTTGTTTCCCCTAGTTGGCTCTGTCACAAACTTTTAAAAAACAATCCTGGATCGTATCAAGAAAGTACCTGACTCTAAATTTTCCTGTCAAATTGCTCCAGTCAATCTGTCTATAGTTGAAATCTCCCATTAGCACAACATTTTCGTATGTAGATGCCTTACGAATTTCGTCCCATAGAAGTTTACTGCACTCCCTATCAAGATTTGGGGCCCTGTAAATCACACCCAAAATTAGTTTTTCTCGGCCCTCGAGAAGCTGTAACCAAACAGATTCAGTGGCTGACGCTTCTAATTTAATATCTTGTCTAACACAACAATTTAAATTGTCTCTGACATACATCGCTACTCCACCACCTTTCCTGTTGACCCTGTCAGTGTGGAATAATTTATAGCCTTGTATGTGACATTCAGAGGGCATCTCTCTATCTTTCAGATTGAGCCAGGTCTCTGTTATAGCAATAATATCTTTGTTTCCTGCACTTGCAATTAATCTTAGCTACGGTACTGTCAAGACTACATAAAGAATAAGTAACAAGTTATCTATTAATTACTCCTCTGAGTAAGATGACTGATCAAAAAACATTACTGTAAAGAAAAATAAGTAGTACTGTACTACACATACTGTAATTTTTTAGATCAATGTATCAGATGTAACTATGGATGAAATTCTGCAATACAGTTACTATATGCATTAACTCACTTCCTATCCTATGGCAAGGATCAGAGGATTAGAGTACCAAAAAGGTGTGAATCATATACAAATTATTATTATTATTATATAACAGGGAAGCACTAAACCCATAGCGATCGTGCAGCACCTGGGGAATGAGAAAAGTGGGTTTGATCCAAGGAGAGGGCAAATCAATTCCTTGGATCAGTTGCCCCTCACAAAGCATCAAGAAGCCTCCTTTGAGAGGAATCCTGGGGAGTTGCTGTTCACCTGGTAGTAAAGGGCATTTGGGTATTAATAAACTTGTCAGCCACATCCAGAGGATGATATATACAAGATATTGCTTACAGCAGTATCTAATATGCAAACCTTATAATTACAAAAACCCCATACTTAGGACATTTATGCACTCATGCACACAATAGCCATCATAAATATGCATATAAACAGTTCACTCAGAAAATTAGAGGGCTCGTAATAACTTAATGTTTAACCCTTTGACTGTTTTGGTCGTATATACACGTCTTACAAGCCAATGTGTGTGACGTAAATATACTCAAAAATTCTAGCAGCTTCAAATCAAGCAGGAGAAAGCTGGTAGGCCCACATGTGAGAGAATGGGTCTGTGTGGTCAGTGTGAGCAATATAAAAAATATCCTGCAGCATGCAGTGCATAATGAGAAAGAAAAAACTCCAATTGTGTTTTTGGATTAAAACACCGATTTTAAGGTGTATTTTCGTATAGTATTTATGGTTGTATTCTTGTTTTCTTGGACTCATTTGATAGAATGGAAAACATATTATAGAAGTAGAAGTAATTTTGATTGGTTTTACTATGAAAAGGATCTTGAAATGGAGCTTAAAGTGGCAGAAATGTTCGATTTTTGCCGATGTTCAAGAGTAAACAAATGATGTTATTGTCCAATAAATGTCCAACTAGCCATTTTAACATGCAGTCATGAATGGGTTGACATTATTTATACAATTATTACAATATTGTAGTAGTCTGCATAACAGTAAATCTTCTATTTTTTATGTGAATAAAAATTCAAAATAGAAAGCAAGAGAGTATTATAACTGGGGCCTGGAGATGTGACTGATGAACAGAGAAAATGTTATTTTAGTGGCACGAATGTCTGCATTATTCATTCTGGACCCTGTTTTGAAACTGAATTTTTTTAATTTGCATGAATTGGTGCCAATTTCCGACCACTTTACTGGGTAGTTGAAATCGGTAAATGGGCGGTTTCTTGTACTCAATCAACAAAACAAATGGAGTTCTAAAGAAATAGCTATGAGTTTGATAGACTGGAATAATGTAATTGGCCGAAAATAGGGCTCAAAGTGGGCAAAATCACCAATGAGTCAATGTCGCCGAGGTCGCTAACTTCACAAGAGCATAATTCCGTAGGTTTTCCATAAAATTTTGTACTTATAGTGTCATTATCACCGGGAAAAGATTCTCTATCATTTCATAAGAAAAAATAATTTTTTTTTTTCAAATATTCTGCGACACCAGGAGAAACATCGGGATTTAGGGTTGCGACAGTCAAAGGGTTAAAATATAAAATACTGAAATACGTATGTATGTACGAGTTCTCCAATACTTCCTCTTTAGGCACTTCTTAAGTCTGTAGTGTGTCTTGCAAGACTGTAGTGTGTCTTGCAAGACTACAGTGTGTCTTGCAAGACTACAGTGTGTCTTGCAAGACTACAGTGTGTCTTGTAAGACTGTAGTGTGTCTTGTAAGACTGTAGTGTGTCTTGTAAGACTGCAGTGTGTCTTGTAAGACTGCAGTGTGTCTTGTAAGACTGCAGTGTGTCTTGTAAGACTGCAGTGTGTCTTGTAAGACTGTAGTGAGTCTTGTAAGACTGTATTTTGTCTTGTAAGACTGTAGTGTGTCTTGTAAGACTGTAGTGTGTCTTGTAAGACTGTAGTGTGTCTTGTAAGACTGTAGTGTGTCTTGTAAGACTGTAGTGTGTCTTGTAACACTGTAGTGTGTCTTGTAACACTGTAGTGTGTCTTGTAAGACTGTAGTGTGTCTATTAAGACTGTAGTGCGTCTTGTAAGGCTGCAGTGTGTCTTGTAAGACTGTAGTGTGTCTTGTAAGACTGTAGTGAGTCTTGTAAGACTGTAGTGTGTCTTGTAAGACTGTAGTGTGTCTTGTAAGACTGTAGTGTGTCTTGTAAGACTGTAGTGCGTCTTATAAGCTGATTCCATTGTTACACAAAAATTGCAACAATGCACGTACATGACAAAAATGCCTGTCTAGCCTCAACAGAATGACCAAGCACACTAAAACTTGCCATGCTACTTCACAAAAGAGTGTACTGCACAGTGTGATCTATGCCTCCCCCATACTTCAAGCAGGAAGTAAGCAAAAATTTGAATGTGGAAACTTTTTAATAGCACATTGTAAAAATAAACTATAAATTCTATTCTAATTGTAGCAGAGAAGGATGAAAAACAAAGACAATCTTTATCCAGGCTTAAATATAAAGCATTATACAGGCAATTTAGATAGAAGGGTTGAAGGTATGTTTAAATGGTGATATACAGTATTTGTGTCAGCTAACATCTTTTCACCCTCAACAAAGATATAAGGATAGTTAAGGTGATTAAGCAACATCAATCTACCTGGAGTTTACCTGGAGAGAGTTTCGGGGGTCAACGCCCCCGCAGCCCGGTCTATGACCAGGCCTCCTGGTGGATCAGCGCCTGATCAACCAGGCTGTTGCTGCTGGCTGCACGCAAACCAACGTACGAGCCACAGCCCGGCTGATCAGGAACTGACTTTAGGTGCTTGTCCAGTGCCAGCTTGAAGACTGCCAGGGGTCTGTTGGTAATCCCCCTTATGTGTGCTGGGAGGCAGTTGAACAGTCTCGGGCCCCTGACACTTATTGTATGGTCTCTTAACGTGCTAGTGACACCCCTGCTTTTCATTGGGGGGATGGTGCATCGTCTGTCAAGTCTTTTGCTTTTGTAGCGAGTGATTTTCGTGTGCAAGTTCGGTACTAGTCCCTCTAGGATTTTCCAGGTGTATATAATCATGTATCTCTCCCTCCTGCGTTCCAGGGAATACAGGTTTAGAAACCTCAAGCGCTCCCAGTAATTGAGGTGTTTTATCTCCGTTATGCGCGCCGTGAAAGTTCTCTGTACATTTTCTAGGTCGGCAATTTCACCTGCCTTGAAAGGTGCTGTTAGAGTGCAGCAATATTCCAGCCTAGATAGGACAAGAGACCTGAAGAGTGTCATCATGGGCTTGGCCTCCCTAGTTTTGAAGGTTCTCATTATCCATCCTGTCATTTTTCTAGCAGATGCGATTGATACAATGTTATGATCCTTGAAGGTGAGATCCTCCAACATAATCACTCCCAGGTCTTTGACGTTGGTGTTTCGCTCTATTTTGTGGCCAGAATTTGTTTTGTACTCTGATGAAGATTTAATTTCCTCATGTTTACCATATCTGAGTAATTGAAATTTCTCATCGTTGAACTTCATATTGTTTTCTGCAGCCCACTGAAAGATTTGGTTGATGTCCGCCTGGAGCCTTGCAGTGTCTGCAATGGAAGACACTGTCATGCAGATTCGGGTGTCATCTGCAAAGGAAGACACGGTGCTGTGGCTGACATCCTTGTCTATGTCGGATATGAGGATGAGGAACAAGATGGGAGCTAGTACTGTGCCTTGTGGAACAGAGCTTTTCACCGTAGCTGCCTCGGACTTTACTCTGTTGACGACTACTCTCTGTGTTCTGTTAGTGAGGAAATTATAGATCCATCGACCGACTTTTCCTGTTATTCCTTTAGCACGCATTTTGTGCGCTATTACGCCATGGTCACACTTGTATAACAGCAAGATTTTTGTAAATACTGTAATGAATTTAATACATTATGTTTGAATTTATGTACACAATTCCAAGTTTATGAAATTGTCTGGGTCCCATCCACATCATATATTTGGAGCCTTACAGTATATCATTTCTTTAATTTATGTGTACTGGTATAAAGTTACTAAAAGAAAACAGCTGCCTTCTTACAATGCAGTGGGTACTGAAGCATATGCCAGAGATAACCTTATCATTCATTATCATATTTTATTTAAATCCTTGGTACTTAGTGAGGTTATAAAATACTGTATATCCTTGGTACAAAAATGATATGGTTGTAATAATTCCGTAATTCTCTACGGCATCTAAGTGTGAATGCCAGGAAATTTATTAAATGATTTTGTAAACATTCATTGGTTCTAGAGTGCCTGACCCCTTTATAGCATGCATGTGAATCACCCCACACGGACTATCAACATTAACAAGTTCTTACACCATACTTTGTAGCTTTCTTTTCTAAAACAATAACACAATATTGTACTGAATGAGAATTAACCCCTTGACTGTTGCAACCCCAAATCCTGAGGTGTCTCCTGGTGTCGCAAAATTTCAAAAAAAAAAAAAAAAAAAAAAAAAAATATTTCTTATGAAATGATAGAGAAGCTTTTCTCGATTGTAATGACACCAAAAGAATGAAATTTGACGGAAAACTGATGGAATTATGCTCTTGTGAAGTAAGCGACCTCGGCGATATTTATGAATCGGCGATTTCGCTCACTTTGAGCCCTATTTTTAGCTAATTCCATTGTTCCAGTCAACCAAACTCATAGCTATTTCTTTATAACTCCATTTTTTATATCGATTGAGTACAAGAAACTGCCCATTTACCGATTTCAACTACCCAATAACGAGGTCAGAAATTTGCAATTTGGCCAATTTCACGAAAATTAAAAAATACGAGTTTCAAAATAGGATCCAGAATGAACAATACAGACATTCCTGCCACCAAAATAACATTTTCTTTGTTCATCAGTCACGTCTCCAGGCCCCTCTGATATTACTCTTGCTTTCTATTTTGAATTTTTATTCAAACAAAAAATCGAAGATTTACTGTTATGCAGACTACTGCAATATTGTAATAATTGTATAAATAATGTCAACCCATTCATGACTGCATATTAGAATGGCTACTTGGACATTTACTGGAAAATGACATCATTTATTTACTTTTGAACATTGGCAAAAATCAAACATTTCCCCTAATTTGAGCTCCATATCAAGGTTCTTTTCATAGTAAAACCAATCAAAATCACCTCTATATCTATAATATGTTTTCCATTCTATCAAATAAGACCAAGAAAACGAGAATTCAACTATAAATACTATACAAAAATAGACCGCAAAGTCGGCATTTTAATTAAAAAAAACAGTCGGAGTTTTTTTTTTCTCATTATGCACTGCGTGCTACAGGATTTTTTTTATATGGTGCACACTGACCACACAGACCCATTCTCTCACATGTGGGGCTACCAGCTTTCTCCTGGTTGATTTGAAGCCGCTAGAATTTATGAGCATATATACGTCAAAAATGGTGGCTCGTAAGACGTATATATAAGACCAAAACAGTCAAAGGGTTAAGAAACAATCAAGGCCCTAAGTTTCCGTTAAAAAATATGGGAATATCAAAACAAGAGCACTAGGGACAATAAGACACAATGCTGTGACTGGAAACACCATGGTAAGCTCCTGTCCCCATGTGGGGGTTATTTGTGTAAGAGCACTGGGTACATTTCTGCACAGAGCTTAATTCTACATGCCACTTACAGTTGTAGTAGTGTTGTTGACGGTAGGCTGGGTGCTAAAAGGATCATATTCTTCCAAGCCATTTTGGGCAGAGCCTCGTGTGGCCTGCTGGATCGAAGGTTCCTGAAAGGTAACTGTTTGTCTAGATATGTTATATATCATTATTACACTATGTTTATATTTACAGAGAAACACTAAACCTGTAAGGGTTATACAGCCCCTGGGTAACAGGAGGCAATCAGGTTTGTTCCAAGGAAGGGGAGGGTAGTCCCATTTCCTTGGGGCAAACACCCTTCATCAGCATTAATAACCTGCTACTGGTATGTATCAGAAATACTGCTGGAACAAATGTGGATGTCATCAAGAGGAAACTGGACCACTACCTCCAAATGTTAGAAAATTTCCACTACTTTGAGTCTAGTTTCAAGTTAGTTCAACCTGAAATCAACCAAAATCATCTATTCGGTAGTGCATCTTCCATTCTATCAAGTTATACTAAGAAACAACAAATAAAACCATCCTGGAAAACACCTCAAAGTTGCAATTTTAAGCCAAACAAGATCCGAGTTTTGCTTTTTCCCATCAAGCACATCACAGAGCAAGATTTCTTTTTTCACTGTGCACACTCACCACATGGACCCATTCTCTCATATCCAGGCCAAAATTTACCACTGACTGTTTATCTGAGGGAGCCGAGCTCAAAACGTATAACTACACGAGGGACCCTGGCGTCAGTAACGTAGATCAACATGAGAGACGGTGAAAGGGTTAACTGGAAGTGCCTACCAACACTGCAATTTTGGTATATATATTTGTCGAGTTTCGAGTTTTTTTCTACTCATATACTGGTAAGAATAACTGCCATTAGACTATTATAGACATAAAAGAAGCACTAAACCTGTAGGGATCATGCAGAACCTGGGGAATGGGAGACATTCAGGTTCAACCCAACGAAGAGGACAGGTTCAATTTCTTGGATTAAGAGCCCCTTACCACTGGGCTGAGACAAGTTTACTTAAAAACTAAATAAGTTTATTTAGACACAGATACACAGGTACAATTATCACAGTGTAAATTACTTAAGATAACGAGGATTTACAAAGGTGTACCGTGGCCCTGGGGCCATAATGTCAATACACATTTATAAAATATTATGCAGACTTACAATACGGAGATCAAATAAAGTGAAACCAAATTATTTCTCATTGGGAACTTAACTGGAAATAACGTGAAAAATAATCTCTCAAGACGAATGTGACATTAATCTTGAGCCAGAGCTGCAGTGACTGGAGGAGCCACTGGGAACAAAAACCTGTGAATAGGTATAAAAATGACAAGTGTTTAAAAATGCCGGGGTCAGCAGGACAAAAGGAGAAGGTGGTGGGTCAGTCATATGACAACACTACAGCTGCTGCCCTCCTCTCACTTCTCCCACCCTACCTCACACTTTAATGGTGCTTCTCGACCTTTAGGGAACCTCAGATACTCACAGCGAAGGGATCAGCGAAGGGGTTGTCGTCGAAGCCTGACATTATGCCCAAGTTTTGTCATAAACTAGTCATTCACTGGCGAGTCTTTCGATCTGTTGACGACAAACAGAAAACACCTCGACCGCCAGTGTTGCCAGGACCCAGTGGCAGTGATACCCTTCTTTCCCTCTCTTCTCCCCTCTCTCCCTTAAATAAAACTCAAAATAAACCTCTAACAAACACTAATAAATAGTCAATCCACTTATCTAAACGTAAAATACTCATTTTCCTTTATTTATATACATATACAAAAATAATACCAATTGATTTAACTCATGACAAATTCTTTCCCGAGTTGGTTACATGAAATGAGGTAATCTGAATCTATTATCAGCGTGGCACAGACAAAATAGCATCACACTTGTAATAAAATAGATTTTAATTACAGAAAATGCTTAGTTACTTTAGTTATTAGATGATCGAAGAAACTTCCAATGATGTTTCATATTCCTTGTTAAAGGGTGTTATCTATGGTTAAAAGTTATATCAGATATAAATATTGATAATCATGTTGATAAGGAGGGGAAATACGCTTTTAATTGGAAAACTAATATCTGTATTCATAGTTCTTCAAATATAAATATGTATTTATTCTTAATACTTATTTGTTTAGGCTTTGGCAATGTAGTACTTGAAGATACTCACGTAGTACCCTCAACTAATCAACTATTTCCTTCTAATCAATGACAAACAAACAATTAGGTCATCTACTTACAACTGCTAATGATAATCAACTAATGGGAGGCAACTTTAAAATATATTATTAAGACGCAGAAACACTTTTCATCCTCATTACGTGATGCGTTTTAGAAAAAAGCTGCCGACACTGATTTTTTTATTGTAATAATAATAATAATAATAATAAATAATAATAATAATAATAATAATAATATATCTTTATTTGTACATGTACAAGGTATACAGACCATAGCTGACATCAATGACATCATACTACAATATAGAAAGCCCCTTGTTATGCTGAGCATTTTGGACAAATTAGGTCAGTTTTATCCCAGGATGCGACCCACACCAGTCCACTAACACTCAGGTACCTATTTTACTGATGGTGAACATAGACAACCAGTGTAAGGAAACTTGCCCAATGTTTCTACCCTCGCCGGGAATCGAATCTGGACCCTTGCCGTGTGAAGCGAGAACTTAGCCACCAGAATCACCACCACATTGTACAAACATTATCTCTGTCCACAGCAGGACTCGAACCTGCAAACACGGCATCATAGTACTTTAGACACAACGCCATATTATATATATATATATATATATATATATATATTATATATATATATATATATATATATATATAATATATATATATATATATATAATGGGAATCGAACCTCCAATATTTTTGTGCGCCTCCCGAGAAGCCAGCCAAAATTCCAAGACACCTTAGTCCACTTGGCCATCAGTACTTCAAACATCAGGTGGCTAGTACCACTGGACATGACACCCCTGATGCCAGTACATGCGTGGCTATGGAAGCTACAGGACCAATTCCATTCTCTTCACGCTTGGAATACCAGTTGTTTATGGCTGCATTAATACATGTACTGCTCGTGAAGACTGGTATTCCGAATGGGAAGATAATGAAATTAATCATGTAGCTTATCACAGCCCATATGTGCTTGCATCAGGAGTGATATGTCCGGTAGCACTGGGTACCTGATGTCAGAAGTATTGATGGCCAAGTGGACTAAGGCGTCTCGGGAGGCGTGCTAAAATATCGGGGGTTCGATCCCCGGCTGGTCGTAGTATTGTTTATTTATTTTCTTAAAATTACTCGTTTGTGGATGTATAATCAACGTAACCCAACACACACCACCTAAATAAGAATATAATTCGTATATACTAGCAAAAGACTTGGCAGACGATGCACCATCCCCCCAATGAAAAGCAGGGGTGTCACTAGCACGTTAAGAGACCATACAATAAGTGTCAGGGGCCCGAGACTGTTCAACTGCCTCCCAGCACACATAAGGGGGATTACCAACAGACCCCTGGCAGTCTTCAAGCTGGCACTGGACAAGCACCTAAAGTCAGTTCCTGATCAGCCGGGCTGTGGCTCGTACGTTGGTTTGCGTGCAGCCAGCAGCAACAGCCTGGTTGATCAGGCGCTGATCCACCAGGAGGCCTGGTCACAGACCGGGCCGCGGGGGCGTTGACCCCCGAAACTCTCTCCAGGTAAACTCCAGGTAAACTACTTGTGTATAACAAAATAAGTGTTACAGCACAAAAGATGAAACAAATTTTAATAAATTATTGATCAGAATATGAATATTCTCTTTACACACTCAGTTTTTAGCAAGCCGCTAACCAGACTGAGAGTCGAAGATCAAAATTATTTTTTTATGAGAGAGCCACAAAATTTGATTAACACAAGCCTATCCGATGTTATCCTGACGCCAAATGACTTCGAACAGGCGATAAATGATATGCCCATGCACTCTGCCCCAGGGCCAGACTCATGGAACTCTGTGTTCATCAAGAACTGCAAGAAGCCCCTATCACGAGCCTTTTCCATCCTATGGAGAGGGAGCATGGACACGGAGGTCGTCCCACAGTTACTAAAAACAACAGACATAGCCCCTCTCCACAAAGGGGGCAGTAAAGCAACAGCAAAGAACTACAGACCAATAACACTAACATCCCATATCATAAAAAATCTTTGAAAGGGTCCTAAGAAGCAAGATCACCACCCATCTAGAAACCCATCAGTTACACAACCCAGGGCAACATGGGTTTAGAACAGGTCGCTCCTGTCTGTCTCAACTATTGGATCACTACGACAAGGTCCTAAATGCACTAGAAGATAAAAAGAATGCAGATGTAATATATACAGACTTTGCAAAAGCCTTCGACAAGTGTGACCATGGCGTAATAGCGCACAAAATGCGTGCTAAAGGAATAACAGGAAAAGTCGGTCGATGGATCTATAATTTCCTCACTAACAGAACACAGAGAGTAGTCGTCAACAGAGTAAAGTCCGAGGCAGCTACGGTGAAAAGCTCTGTTCCACAGGCACAGTACTCGCCCCATCTTGTTCCTCATCCTCATATCCGACAATAGACAAGGATGTCAGCCACAGCTCCGTGTCTTCCTTTGCAGATGACACCCGAATCTGCATGACAGTGTCTTCCATTGCAGACACTGCAAAGCTCCAGGCGGACATCAACCAAATCTTTCAGTGGGCTGCAGAAAACAATATGAAGTTCAACGATGAGAAATTTCAATTACTCAGATATGGTAAACATGAGGAAATTAAATCTTCATCAGAGTACAAAACAAATTCTGGCCACAAAATAGAGCGAAACACCAACGTCAAAGACCTGGGAGTGATCATGTCGGAGGATCTCACCTTCAAGGACCATAACATTGTATCAATCGCATCTGCTAGAAAAATGACAGGATGGATAATGAGAACCTTCAAAACTAGGGAGGTCAAGCCCATGATGACACTCTTCAGGTCACTTGTTCTATCTAGGCTGGAATATTGCTGCACACTAACAGCACCTTTCAAGGCAGGTGAAATTGCCGACCTAGAAAATGTACAGAGAACTTTCACGGCGCGCATAACGGAGATAAAACACCTCAATTACTCTGAGCGCTTGAGGTTCCTAAACCTGTATTCCCTGGAACGCAGGAGGAAGAGATACATGATTATATACACCTGGAAAATCCTAGAGGGACTAGTACCGAACTTGCACACGAAAATCACTTACTACGAAAGCAAAAGACTTGGCAGACGATGCACCATCCCCCCAATGAAAAGCAGGGGTGTCACTAGCACGTTAAGAGACCATACAATAAGTGTCAGGGGCCCGAGACTGTTCAACTGCCTCCCAGCATACATAAGGGGGATTACCAACAGACCCCTGGCAGTCTTCAAGCTGGCACTGGACAAGCACCTAAAGTCGGTTCCTGACCAGCCGGGCTGTGGCTCGTACGTTGGTTTGCGTGCAGCCAGCAGCAACAGCCTGGTTGATCAGGCTCTGATCCACCAGGAGGCCTGGTCACAGACCGGGCCGCGGGGGCGTTGACCCCCGGAACTCTCTCCAGGTAATATGATGGAGTATAATGGCAGTCTGCGAGTGCATTACTGTGTTTACCTGGAGTTTACCTGGAGAGAGTTCCGGGGGTCAACGCCCCCGCGGCCCGGTCTGTGACCAGGCCTCCTGGTGGATCAGAGCCTGATCAACCAGGCTGTTGCTGCTGGCTGCACGCAAACCAACGTACGAGCCACAGCCCGGCTGATCAGGAACTGACTTTAGGTGCTTGTCCAGTGCCAGCTTGAAGACTGTCAGGGGTCTGTTGGTAATCCCCCTTATGTGTGCTGGGAGGCAGTTGAACAGTCTCGGGCCCCTGACACTTATTGTATGGTCTCTTAACGTGCTAGTGACACCCCTGCTTTTCATTGGGGGGATGTTGCATCGTCTGCCAAGTCTTTTGCTTTCGTAGTGAGTGATCTTCGTGTGCAAGTTCGGTACTAGTCCCTCTAGGATTTTCCAGGTGTATATAATCATGTATCTCTCCCGCCTGCGTTCCAGGGAATACAGGTTTAGGAACCTCAAGCGCTCCCAGTAATTGAGGTGTTTTATCTCCGTTATGCGCGCCGTGAAGGTTCTCTGTACATTGGATGGTTTCCCTGTCATACTCCATTACACAGGATGGTTTTCCTGTCATACTCCATTACACAGGATGATTTTCTTGTTATATTCCGCCACACAGGATAGTTTTCCTGTTATACCCCCCATAGGATGGATTTCATGTCATATTCCATCACACAGGATGATTTCTGAGCTCAAAGGCCAGGCTATGTTGTAACTCATTACAAGAGATCAAGTCTTGGCTACATTAAAACATAGGGACATAAAACTATATAAACAGTATGCACTGTATAAAATAGCACTGTCCAGATAGTATATGCTGCCTCGTTGATGTACGGTGAACTTTCCCTCAAATTCTAAATACTTGGAGCATAACTTTTACATAATCACGTTTTATATTTAAAGAATTAGGATGAGTTTGGTAGGGTATGTAAAAGATGAAAATTAAAAGTGAATATAGGAAAGAGTAAAGTGATGAGGATAAAAATTAGGCGACGAAAGATTGGACATCAGATCGGAGGGAGAGAGTATGGAGGAGGTGAATGTATTCAGATATTTCGGAGTGGACGTGTCAGCAGATGGGTCTATGAAAGATGAGGTGAATCATGGAATTGATGAGGGAAAAAAGGTCATTGCTGCACTTAGGAGTCTGTGGAGACATAGAACTTTGCCCATGGAAGCAAAGAGGGGAATGTATGAGAGTATAGTTATATCAACACTCTTATATGGGTGTGAAGCATGGGTGGTGAATGTTGCAACAAGGAGAAGGCTGGAGGCAGTGGACAGGTCATGTCTGAGGGCAATGTGTGGCGTGAATATATTGCAGAAAATCCGTAGTTTGGAAACTAGGTGGTCCGAGATTACCAAAACTATTATCCAGAGGGCTGAGGAGGGATTGTTGAGGTGGTTCGGACATGTAGAGAGGGTGAAACAAAATAGAATGACTTCGAGAGTGTATAAATCTGTAGTGGAGGGAAGGCGGGGTAGGGGTCGGCTTAGGAAAGGTTGGAGGGAGGGGGTAAAGGAGGGTTTGTGTGCGAGGGGATTGAACTTCCAGCAAGCATGCGTGAGCGTATTAGATTGGAGCGAATGGAGACAAATGGTTTTTAGGATTTGACGTGCTGTTGGAGTGTGAGCAAGGTAACATATATGAAAGGATTCAGGGAAACCGGCAGGCCGGACTTGATTCCTGGAGATGAGAAGTACAGTGTCTGCACTCTGAAGGAGGGGTGTTAAATATTGCAATTTTATAACTGTAGTGTAAGCACGCCTCTGGCAAGACAGTGATGGAGTGAATGACGATGAAAGTTTTCCTTTTTCGGGCCACCCTGCCTTGGTGGGAGACGGCCAATGTGTTAATAAAAAATAATAAATTTAGACCAAAGTCAAAAGTCAAAGGTTTATTTCCACGTGATACAATGTTTGTACGGAGATGGGTGACATTTGGTTGTGAATGTGAAAATTCCATGGTTATGCAGAGCATTTCGGGGAAGCTCAACCCTAACGTATAACTACACCTGGAGACCTGGAGTTTACCTGGAGAGAGTTCCGGGGGTCAACGCCCCCGCGGCCCGGTCTGAGACCAGGCCTCCTGGTGGATCAGAGCCTGATCAACCAGGCTGTTGCTGCTGGCTGCACGCAAACCAACATACGAGCCACAGCCCGGCTGATCCGGACAACATACAGGTCAATGCCTTGTCGCACAGTCGGTATGTAGTGGCTGGGTTTGCAGCGGCGTTAGTTCACAAACTGAGAGACCGGGGTTCGATTCTTGTTCACCTAGCAGTATGTAATACCTGGGTGTTAGCCGCTGACTGTTGAGGGTCGCATCATGAAGATTAATGGACGTCAGTGGAAATAAGCCGGACAGTCCTCGATAACAACATGACCTTATTGGGTTATCTTGGATTACTAACGCTCTTGAGTTAATAATATGAAAATAAAATCATCAGATATGGATATCTGACTTGGCTCTGAAGAACGTAATTTACAAAGTACGGTACTGGTACCGTACGGAGTCTGGATACTGACTAGTAAGTTTATTCAGGTATAGACAAATACAGTTACATAGATTATCATACATAGCAGCATATGTGTAGAGAACCTGGGATAACCCAAAAAAGTTAGAGTAACTTATTTCCATTGGGGTCCTTTTAATACCTTATTATTATACTATTAAGGAGATAATATCTTTTTTTTCCAGTAAGTAACTTAGTTCTCGTGCATGTCAACAACATATGGAATCCAGCTTGGCTCTCAAGACCGTACATGCAATAACATATGGAATACAGATATCCGGATCGGCCCGAAATGCCTAGCCATGCTAGGAGTTCTAGTGGTACACTCTGTAATCATTATTTAACTACACGTAAACCACACAACAACCAAATTCTGTAAATTCAACATTGTAATCTTTGTAGAGAATAAACTTTGATGATGATGATAATTGATGAAGAACGTAAACAACATACGAAATCCGGATATCCAGATCGGCTTTCATGAACGTAAACACAACAATATACAGAATCCGGATATCCGGATCGGCCCTGAAGAACGTAAACATAGCAACATAAGGAATCCGGATATCCGGATCGGCTCTGAAGAACGTTAACATAACAACATATGAAATCCGAATATCCGGATCGGTCTCATGAACATAAACAACATACAGAATCCGACATGCGCCTTTTTACTGCATTATTAACTATTAGTTCACCATGCAGGAATCGAAAGATATATTACTAAATATTTCTCGGAAGATATTGCTGGGATAGTTTTCTGGTTGCACAATATTTTTTTAAACTATTAACACTATTCAGTTGACATTTTTGTAGATGCACCAGCGACAGTCTGTCTGTTAGCTATTGATTGCATGTCTTCCATCCCTCAACGTGACTCCTTTTCTTTGTGTGTTAAGCTCCTGAAGGATAGTGTCGGAGGCGTTCTTGCAGTCAAAGAAAATGCAGTCTACCCTTTCTCTCTTACCTCATCTGTCGGTCAATTTTATTCAAGGATAGCTTTAGCCATCGTGGCCTGGTGACTAAAGTTCTCGCTTCACACGGCGAGTTCCGGGTTCGATTCCCGGCGAGGGTGAAAACATTGGGCGTGCTTCCTTACACCGGTTGTCTATGTTCCCCATCAGTAAAATGGGTACCTGGGTGTTAGTGGGCTGGTGTGGGTCGCATCCTGGGACAAAACTGACCTAATTCACCTGAAATGCTCAGCAAAACAAGGGGCTTTCTATATAGTAGAATGTCAATGATGTCAGCTATGGTCTGTATACCTTGTACATGTACTTGTAGAAATAAAGATATATTATTATTATGGAGTTATACATGCAGAGAAAAGCAAAGGTACAGTTACCGATACAGGCGAAGGTATCAAAGGTCAAAGGCAAAGGTGCGGGTACCAGTACAAGTTAAAGGTGTAGGTACCAGTACAATCTAAGGTGCAGGTACCAGTACAAATTAAGGTGCGAGTATCAATACAGATTAAGGTGGAGGTAAAGATGCAGGTGTAGGTAACAATAATGGCTTAAGCACAGGTACATCCGGAGTAAATGTAGACAAAATCATGAACCGTCGCTCAGTTGGAGTGTGTTGGTCTCACAACCCATGGGACCTGTGTTAGATTCCCAGGCTGGGCGAGACGTACGGGCATTAGTTAACTAGTGGTGGGCATCCTGGGGTTCAAGTAACTCTGTTTAGGCCAGGTACACAAAAGTACAATTATTATACATAATGTAAATTACTTAGGATATCCCAAACAAAGTCCAAGTGACTTGATTACCATTGGGTTTCTAGTGTACCCTAAATAGGGATGGGCTTCGAAATAGCCTAACAGCCCGTAACCCATCAACTGAATTGTGTTAAGTTATATCTTGTGTTAAATAACGTTTGGTGTAAATTATGCGAGAAGCTTCAGCCGTAAGAATAGAGAATTCCATTATGAAGATGACCCCTCAAGGTAGGGAGCTCTTGATCTAGGGAACTGAATCTGTGCTCTGGTTCCCTGAACTGAGTCTGAATACCTTCCATCCCCCTCACATGCGCTGTATAATCCTACGAGTTTAGTGCTCCCCATGGTTATAATAACATTATTATTATTATAATCAAGGGGGAAGCGCTAAACCCGGAGGATTATACAGCGCCTGGGGGGGGGGATGTGGAAGGCATTCAGGCTTAATTTGGGGAACTGGAGCACAGATCCAATTCCCTAAATCAAGAGCCCCTCACCAACATCAAGGAACCTTCCTTGAGGGGGGTTATAATAACAGTATTATGAAGATTAAATGATAACAGCACTAAGGTCGTTGTCCAAGCTGCCTTCATTCACTGATTACTTCCATATCCCAGTTTAACCGGGCGCCGAGGAGAGAAAGATGGGGAAATAAGAGAGTAATCTATATAGACATAGAACTGATATAGCTATTATGACTCATACATGGGTTTATGGGTGATAAATGTGAATGGAAGCGAGAGTTTGGGCGGCGGGATGAACGCATGCGTACAGCACCTCCCTGTGTCACAGTGCTGGACTTCCCCATTAATGGATCTACTTTTAAAACCTCAAACCTCCTAAAAAAAATTCCCCATCTCGCGAATACTTATTTTGAATAAAATAATTGGTTTCAAATACTGTGTTTGTTGTATAGAGTGGAAGGTTATGGTAGACATGTGTTGATAAGATGAAGTCGAGGTTACTAGGGTGGGTCAGGAGGGTGTGGCTGTCCAGTCTTCCTACCACCTGTTGGCAGCACACACCACACCTCTCTCACTCTCATAATGACAGACACCAACGCTAAAACCACCTCCGAGGATGTCAAGGATGGCGCTAAGGAGGCCGTGAAGGAGGCGGTGAAGAGTGAGGAAGTGGAGGAGGCTAAGGAGATGAGAGCTGTTGTTCTGAATGGATTCGGTGGTTTGAAGTGTGTGAAGACGGTGAAGCGGCCACAACCTTCCCTAGCAGATGGGGAAGTCCTCATCAGGGTCCAGCTCTGGTCTGTAATAACCTGCACCATTTCTAGATCATTCTATTACTCTAGCCTAACAAAATTTACATGCAACTCTATTGCAGTTTGTGTGGAATAAGATTGCCTAATTACACGCTGCCACGACGTTCACTCGGAACTTTAATTTAATTCTTTGTCACTAGTTTATGTAGATCACTAAGACACTACCCGCTCATGGTAACTAAATTACAGTACCCTAATATTTAACGTCACTACGAAGCTCTAGATCCAAGAATTTGCAACTCTTTCCATCTAATGATTTCCCTCCATTACTTTAGCGATTTAACTTGGCAAGTATTTATCACTCTTCAGAGAATGTTCTCTAGATTAAGGTGTGGCACATGGCACCCCCCCCCCTCCTTCCCCTCCTAGACATTAACTTTGTTCAAACAAATGTAACAACTTCAGACCACAAAGGTGGGTAGGTCAAACTTCTAATGGTTACTGGTTTGAGTATTTATTTTTAATATTCGTATTGCACTTTTTTTTTTTCCTCTTTTTTTCCATTCTAAATTCTTGCCGCTTAAAATATTTACTAAACATGTATATTCATCCTAAACCCGGTGCCTTCCACGAGTGACTTTGCCATTAAGAACTACAGAAGACTTTTTTTTTTACTTTGTATTAATATAAAGGTTCTTGTGACAGTGGTGTGAGCTTCCAGGACGTGATGGTTCGTCAAGGCTTCACAGAATCTCATCCCAAAATACCATTTATTTTGGGTTTTGAATGTGCCGGTGTGGTAGAGGCAGTAGCTGATGATATTACAAACTTTAAGGTACTTCCCATATACCCTACTGAGTACTACAAAATACTGTAAAACTGCTTCACAATGGCATCTTTCGCCCCCCCCCTTTTGTTTTTACTGATTTATACGTAGTTTCCTTAAATCTGGAAAAAAAAGTTTTGCTTAATGTTTACCATAACTACTAGATTTTTCATGTACCTAGGTTGGTGATAGGGTCATGGCACTACCAGACCATCGTGCCTGGGCTGAACTAGTACCAGTACCTGCCAAGTACGTCTATGCCCTCCCAGAAGACATGCCTCTACCGGTGAGTACTTCCTTCATAACATTATCTAAACAGAGACTGAAAAACCTGACTGGGGAGGGTTGACTTGTAAATCGATTTGCTTAGTTTGGATGACTCAGGTTCACATCGTGGCTCGTGTATGACTAACTCGGAGAGCATTTTCTTTAACTGCCTGGTACGTCCTTTTTCACATTCTGGGGAAAATGTGAAAATGGGAGACTTCTTTTGCATTTTAAAAAGTTGAAAACTAAGGTCACAGACGGCTCCAGAAATTCTAATTGGGGGAACGTTTGAGGGAGGGGAGGGGTTAAGAGTAATTATGGGTAGTATCTGGAACAATGGATTGAGAATTAACTTTTGGAAAGGCTAAAGCATTCTTGGGGCTTTGAAAGTCTCTTCCCTCCCCCCCCCCCCCCCCGCTCCGTTTAGCGCCGCCCTTGAAGATATTGATAAATCATAAATTTTTCTCTGGAGTTGTTTAGGGATATCACCCTTTTTGATGGTACAGGAGGAAGTAGTCTTACCATGAATGCCTTTCTCTTGGTGGGGAGAGCTTCTGCCCACTGGAGGTGGGTATCTCTGGCTGTACCACTCTTCTGGCAAGAATAAAGTGGGCGAGGCCTCTGACTGCCATTTCACGACGCACCTGCAGACACTACCCACAATTGGAGGAACTTGCACGAAGGAATGTTTACTGGTGATATGAAACGCTAAATTAGGTAATCTAAACTGTCCTATTTAAACTCTCGGACAGTTTAGAGGGCTGTCTAAAATTGGAATATTCAGTACAGTAATTAAATATTTTAATTGATAAGAGCAGTATTTGACCTGGAGTTTTGCATACATAGCAGTTCACAACCCCCCCCCCCCTCCTGTTTTTTACTTTCGAGAAAGCCTTGTGCTGCCGAAATTTCAGCTAGGTTCCCCCCCCCCCCTCCATCCCTTCCGGTGAAGACGGATGATGCATCCTGACGCCAAATGACTTCGAACAGGCGATAAATGACATGCCCATGCACTCTGCCCCAGGGCCAGACTCATGGAACTCTGTGTTCATCAAGAACTGCAAGAAGCCCCTATCACGAGCCTTTTCCATCCTATGGAGAGGGAGCATGGACACGGGGGTCGTCCCTCAGTTACTAAAAACAACAGACATAGCCCCACTCCACAAAGGGGGCAGTAAAGCAACAGCAAAGAACTACAGACCAATAGCACTAACATCCCATATCATAAAAATCTTTGAAAGGGTCCTAAGAAGCAAGATCACCACCCATCTAGAAACCCATCAGTTTACACAACCCAGGGCAACATGGTTTAGAACAGGTCGCTCCTGTCTGTCTCAACTAACTGGATCACTACGACAAGGTCCTAAATGCACTAGAAGACAAAAAGAATGCAGATGTAATATATACAGACTTTGCAAAAGCCTTCGACAAGTGTGACCATGGCGTAATAGCGCACAAAATGCGCGCTAAAGGAATAACAGGAAAAGTTGGTCGATGGATCTATAATTTCCTCACTAACAGAACACAGAGAGTAGTCGTCAACAGAGTAAAGTCCGAGGCAGCTACGGTGAAAAGCTCTGTTCCACAAGGCACAGTACTAGCTCCCATCTTGTTCCTCATCCTCATATCCGACATAGACAAGGATGTCAGCCACAGCACCGTGTCTTTCCCTTTTCAGATGACACCCGAATCTGCATGACAGTGTCTTCCATTGCAGACACTGCAAGGCTCCAGGCGGACATCAACCAAATCTTTCAGTGGGCTGCAGAAAACAATATGAAGTTCAACGATGAGAAATTTCAATTTCTCAGATATGGTAAACCATGAGGAAATTAAATCTTCATCAGAGTACAAAACAAATTCTGGCCACAAAATAGAGCGAAACACCAACGTCAAAGACCTGGGAGTGATTATGTCGAGGATCTCACCTTCAAGGACCATAACATTGTATCAATCGCATCTGCTAGAAAAATGACAGGATGGATAATGAGAACCTTCAAAACTAGGGAGGCCAAGCCCATGATGACACTCTTCAGGTCACTTGTTCTATCTAGGCTGGAATATTGCTGCACTCTAACAGCACCTTTCAAGGCAGTGAAATTGCCGACCTAGAAAATGTACAGAGAACTTTCACACGGCGCGCATAACGGAGATAAAACACCTCAATTACTGGGAGCGCTTGAGGTTTCTAAACCTGTATTCCCTGGAACGCAGGAGGGAGAGATACATGATTATATACACCTGGAAAATCCTAGAGGGACTAGTACCGAACTTGCACACGAAAATCACTCACTACGAAAGCAAAAGACTTGGCAGACGATGCACCATCCCCCCAATGAAAAGCAGGGGTGTCACTAGCACGTTAAGAGACCATACAATAAGTGTCAGGGGACCGAGACTGTTCAACTGCCTCCCAGCACACATAAGGGGGATTACCAACAGACCCCTGGCAGTCTTCAAGCTGGCACTGGACAAGCACCTAAAGTCAGTTCCTGATCAGCCGGGCTGTGGCTCGTACGTTGGTTTGCGTGCAGCCAGCAGCAACAGCCTGGTTGATCAGGCGCTGATCCACCAGGAGGCCTGGTCACAGACCGGGCCGCGGGGGCGTTGACCCCCGAAACTCTCTCCAGGTAAACTCCAGGCATCCACCCCCTCTTACCCAGATTGCTTTCCTTCTGAATCTGTCCTTTGTTTAAATTTCACGTGCTATAGCAGCATACTATAGCACGTGAAATTCCACATGGTACAAGCCATGTAGATATTTCCCAGTTCGAATAACTAAAGGATACTTGTATTATTTATTGAGTTGAAACACGCACGGGTGCCAATTAACATTTGCACTAATTCATTGCAGTTTTAACTGGCTGTGGTCATGTGAATGACTAGTTTTGTAATTTGTTCAAATTTGTAACTATGTATATAGACTTGTAGATATTCATTACCTTTAACATATTCAGCCATCAAAACTTAGGGGGGGGGGGGGTCGCAATTCCCGGACCTATTGGGTACCTCTAATCTTTTGACTACTGTCCCTACGATAGGTATGGGGCACAGAAGTAATTAACTTGACTGGTACACATTGCAGCTTTACCACCCTTTTCACATGCTCAAAGCAGTCTAGCAATTACCCTTCCCATTGCCCTTAATGTGCAACTCCATTTTTTAGTAAAAAGACCAGGTTGTTGGATTGGATGTTTAGGACAGAACACTGACTGTTCCTTGGTGTTGTAGTTAGTTACAAAAGTGTTACACAAAAACAAATTATTAGTAAATTACCAAGTATAACGCAGTCTTTCCATTGAGGTTCTTGTAATAGCTGTAAACCTTGGTACAATATTTACTCTTCCCAGATTTGATCAAATTTGCTAATATTTGGTTTCTGATCCCCCTCACCATATCACGTTTAGGGAAACTTAACATAATGCCCCACAGCAGATGGGACACGGCTTGCCAACAGGTAGCATGTGTATCTGCCACTTGTAACTACTACATAGCACTGTGGGTCTACCATCTATTTTTGTTCTGAAGCAGACTTCACATCAGGCACAGATGCCTAAGCTAACCCACCCCATGAAAGAATCCAAATCCCAACTTAATGGCAATCCCCCTGCACTAGACTTAAAACCCTCACTCTGCTCATACCCATCTGTTAACTTAATAGCTTGTGAAATTTCTTTTAACATTGGGTTTTTTGGGCCCTATTTTAGCCATGGATTAACTTTAAATAAAAGTTAACCTTAAAAACCTTTCCTGAACTGTGGGATGAGGGGTTTGAATGGCTGGAACCGGGCAGAGCCCAGGATGGGATTTCATCCGATTTTTTAAACCCCTCCGTGGGTTAGCCACCAGGGTAACCCAAGAAGTCTGTACATCATCAAGGACTGTAAACTTATTTCCATTGGGGTCCTCAATCTTGTTCCCCAGGATGCAACCCACACCAGTCGACTAACACCCGGGTCCCTATTTGCTGCTAGGTGAACAGGACAACAGTGTAAGGAAGTGTGTAATTGGTTTCCACCCGCCGGAGTGTGTGTGTGTGTGTGTGTGTGTTTTGGTGTGGTGTGTTGGTAGTGTGTGTGTGTGTGTGTGTGTGTGTGTGGTGTTGTGTGTGTGTGTGGGGTGTGTGTGTGTGTGTGTGTGTGTGTTGTGGTGTGGTGTGTGGTGGTGTGGTGTGTGTTGTGTGTGTGTGTGTGTTGTGTGTGTGTGTTGTGTGGGTGTGTGGGGTGTGTGTGTGGTGTGTGTTGTGGTTTTTTTTTTTTTTTTTTTTTTTCCACTGGGCCTTACTTAAATTAACACTTGGTCCAGTCCAACTTAGCACCTGGTTTTCCCCATAGTTCACTGATTCTTTCCTATAGAGCTGTAATGGATCTAGACCCATAAAAAAATTTTAGTGGTACCATCTAGTTAAATTCACTAGTTGCTAAATTTAGCATGCCATTGCTGGAAATCTCAAAGTACTTGCTACTGAAATTTTTTTTTAAACTAGTTTAAATTAAACTTTTTCTTTTGACTTTGCAGGAAGCTGCTGCTGTAACACTGAGCTACACAGTAGCATATATGCTAGTTTATGATCTAGCTAATATAAAGTCTGGCCAGACTGTCCTCCTCCACTCTGCTGGAGGTGCTGTGGTTAGTATTAATTACTGTACTATGAAACATTTTGGTTATTTTAAGAGCTAACTTCTAGATTAAAATGTAGTAAAGTATAAATATTTATCACTTGACTTTTGTATAATTGTGCCAAGTGTCTGCTTAACTTTAAATCTGCACCAGGTTTTAATACTACCTTCGTAACTTATCAGTGCAAAATTGCATCTATAATTGTGGGTTAATTGGCCATTCTTTTTTTAAATTTCATTTACTTGAGTCCCATCTTTAATACCCAAAAATTACCAATTTTTTTTTTTTTTTTTTTTTTCCTTCCTGGTGAAGGGGAGCTTTCTCAAATTTTTACCCCCTAGGTACCTGATTCCTCTTCTCCAGATCTTTTGATAACTCATTTCCGTCCTTAAATAGTTAAACTTGGGTAATTTTCAAATCTTGGCTTAGCAAATTTTTACAATTAAGTATTACTAGTTACTTTTGCTTTCACCTTTTTCTTAGAAACCCATGTTAAAACTAGTAACTATTACCACTTAGGGTCAAGCCGTCTGCTCACTGCTGCAGAACATTGGAGGAATCACTATAGTGGGTGTAGCATCAAAAAATAAGCACGAAGATATTAAAGAACGTGTCGCCCACCTCATTGACCGTGGCTGTGATACCCCAACAGAAGTACGGAAGTAGGTACCTCTTAATGCATGGTTTCATTAGGGTGTAGGAAATGCTGTAAATGGGGGTCTAAAATTTTAGACTTTCTTGCTAAAGCTACCACTTGCTAGTGTATATATAAATGAAATTTCCTGTGACAGTATAAACTTTCATCAGTGGATAGCCATTCCTATAAACTTAAGAACTAAGATGCCTTGCTTGCAGGGTGTGTCCAGACGGTGTTGATGTAGTTTTGGACTGCCAGGGAGGTGATGAGTGCAACAAAGGGTATTCTCTTCTCAAGCCATTGGGCAGATACATATTGTATGGTAATTATCTTCACTTCCAACCCCCCCCCCCCCTGAGACTACTTTTGAACTTTTAGCTGAACTCCTGCAATTAGAAACTTAACTTGTACATTTCTTCCCTTTGATTGAAATCTAAATGAAAATTTAAAATGCTCTTAATATTCTTTAAGTAAAAAAAATTTCCTTTGACACTGGGCATACTTTACTTTCATAGTATAAACTACTGCATTTACAAACTGTTCTTTTTCTCAGGGCCTTCCAGCATTGTCACAGGAGAGACAAAGAGCATCCTGAGTGTGATCAAATCTGTATGTATGGTTCAGCTATCTGCCAAATTTCCAGCAAATCTTGTAAAGAAAAAATTTAGTGGAAGGGTCCCCTCTGGCACTTCTAATGGTTTAAACATAAAGCTAGAAATACAGCATTTTTACAAAAAAAAAAAAAAAAAATTGATGCATTTTCTGGAATTTTTTTTTTCTTAAACTTCAGCCATATCCAAAAGATCTTAAGTGAGATGTACTTGACTAGGTGTACTGAAATGCCAAAGTTAAAAGTACTTTGCACTCTGGATATTATAATTCTGAATAAAATTTAAATTATGGTAGTTATTTTGAATTGTAGGTAACCTGGTAACCTAAAATTGCTAGTTTTAAGTACTGTTTAGGCAAGTGGTCTTTTGCATTCCTAGTACTTTGAAGTTTTATACAGTACCTACTGTTTTTTTTTAATAGTGGCGGCAGGTGGAAAAGGTAGCTCCACTGAGACTTTACGAGGACAACAAGGCCATCTTCGGTTTTAACCTTAGACGTCTCCTCCACTGTCAGGTATGTTTTTTTGATCACTAATAGAATGTCTTAGTGTAAATTGTATCTAAAATTCCCCCACCCTTATAGGCAGGCAGGCTAGTAAAGTTGGCCCTATATTTCCAGCTATTAACGTGTGCCACTTTCTTATAAAGAACAAAATTGTTCTAAAATGATCATTTTTGATAAAGCTCCCTTTCCCCTTGGTTATGCAGAGCTTTGACTCTTAGAAAAAAATCTGTACTTCACCCTCTCCCCTTTGAAGCTTTGTTGGGTTAATTTGTATATTTTCTGGTCAGCTTTGGTTGGCCAAAATAAAAAATTTATTTGAAAGCAAATAAATTGTTTCAGTATGCACCCCGTCAGTGTCAAAACTTGTCAATATTTCAATAAAATTAAGGTTATTCAATATGCAGTGGTACTATATTGAATAACCTGTTTTACTGTACCAATGGAAATCGGTAACGGCAACTAAAACAAGATTGCCAGCTGAACCATCATGCCACTAGTTCCAATCTAATTTAATCTGCTGTGTATGTGTGTGTGTATATATATATATATTTTTTTTTTTTCCCCCAACAAGTCGGCCGTCTCCCACCGAGGCATATATATACACACACGTACACATACACATGTATATGTATGTTTTTCTCTCTCTCTCTCTCTCTCTCTTCTCTTTCTTCTCTCTCTCTCTCTCTCTCTCTCTCTCTCTCTCAACAAGTTGGTCGTCTCCCACCGAGGCAGGGTGACTCAAAAAAAAGAAAATCCCCAAAAAGAAAATACTTTAATCATCATTCAACACTTTCACCACACTCAAACATTATCACTGCTTTTGCAGAGGTGCTCAGAATACAACAGTTTAGAAGCATATACGTATAAAGATACACAACATACCCCTCCAAACTGCCAATATCCCAAACCCCTCCTTTAAAGTTTACCTGGAGTTTACCTGGAGAGAGTTTCGGGGGTCAACGCCCCCGCGGCCCGGTCTGTGACCAGGCCTCCTGGTGGATCAGCGCCTGATCAACCAGGCTGTTGCTGCTGGCTGCACGCAAACCAACGTACGAGCCACAGCCCGGCTGATCAGGAACTGTCTTTAGGTGCTTGTCCAGTGCAGGCATTGTACTTCCCATTTCCAGGACTAAAGTCAGACTAAGAAAATAACTGGTTTCCCTGAATCCCTTCACTAAATATTACCCTGCTCACACTCCAACAGATCATCAGGTCCCAAGTATCATTAGTCTCCATTCACTCCTATCTAACACTCGTGCACGCTTGCTGGAAGTCCAAGCCCCTCGCCCACAAAACCTCCTTTACCTCCTCTTTCCAACCCTTTCGAGGACTACCCCTACCCCTTTCCTTCCCCTATAGATTTATATGCTTTCCATGTCATTCTACTTTGATCCATTCTCTCTAAATGACTAAACCACCTCAACCCCTCTTCTGCCCTCTGACTAATGCTTTTATTAACTCCACACCTTCTAATTTCCACACCGAATTTTCTGCATAATATTTACACCACACATTGTATGTATATATATGTATATTGTGTGTATATATATGTATATTGTGTATATATGTATGTATATGTATGTATATATATGTAATATATGTATATGTATGTATGTGTATGTACATGTATTAATTCAAGGATTATGTTGAGTAAAATAAAGATTGGATGTGAAAAGTGGGTTACAATTGTGTATGCACCTGAAGAGGCAAGTGTAGAGAGGGGAGGGGGCGGGGGAAGAGATTTTGGGAAATGTTGAGTGAATGCGTGGGGAGTTTTCAGTGAAGTGTGAGAGTAATGGTTGGGGATTTCAATGCTTAAGTGGGGAGCCTTTAATTGAGTTATGTGTAGATATATTTGGTAATAAGTAATACATTTTATGAAAGAGGATAAATATACAAGGTATGTTGTAGCACGTAATGACAGTAGTTTATTAGATTATGTATTGGTGGATAAAAGGTTGATGGGTAGGCTCCAGGATATACACGTTTATAGAGGGGCAACTGATATATCTGATAATTTAGTTGTAGTAAGAGGTAGATGGGAAAAGAGGAAGGTGGCAACAAGAAGAGGGAGGTGAAAGTGTATAAACTAAGGGAGGAGGAAGTTCGCATGAGAAGTGACTATTGGCAGAAAGGTGGGCTAGTGCAAAGATGAGTAGTGGGGGTGTTGAAGAGGGTTGGAATAGTTTTAAAAATGCAGTATTAGAACGTGGGGGCAGAAGTTTGTGGTTATAGGAGGGTGGGGGCAGGAGTAAAGGAGTGATTGGTGGAATGATTAAGTAAAGAGTGTGATAAAAAAAAAGGGTACTTTTTGGGGTTTTTTTCAAAGCAGAAGTTTACAAGAAAGCAATATATGAGAGTAAAAGAAAGAGTGGCGAGTGCAAAAGGAAGCAATGAAATGGGAGGCACGCAAGTTTTTTTTAAAAATGAAAAAAAAAATTTTTAGAGTTAAAAAATTTAAAAGCCGGGGAAAGTATGGATTTGTGGGTTAAAAACATAGGATTAGGGGATGGGGAGAGGGAGGTATTGGGTAGGGTGAGAAATTTTGGGGAATTTTTAAAGTTAAGGAAAAAAAAGGCAGAAATTTCTGCACGGTCGGGGAGGAAAAACCAACTTTTAGGATAAAAGAGCAGAATGAAAGGTGGGGAGGTATGCGACATTACGTAGAGTGAAAGGGGTAAAGCACGGAACTGATGGGATCATGACGAAAGTTAAAACAGGGGGGGGGGGGGGAATATGTTGGATGGTTGGACTTTTGTTTAATGATGAAAGGGGGAAGGTACCTGGGGATTGGGCAGAGCATAATACCCTTTATATAAAGGGAAAGGGGACAAAAGAGACTAAAAATTTAGGGAAAAGTTTACAGAGTATACCGGGAAAAAGTGTACGGTAGGTTATAATTGAAAGAATTAAGGTAAGACAAAATGTAGGTTTGTGGATGAGCAAGGAGGTTTCAGGGGGTGGGATGTGTAATTAAGTTTTTACTTGAAGCATATGTAACAGTATTTAATAAAGGTAGTTTTTTTTGCATCAGGATTTAAAAGGCATATGATAGGGATAAGGACAATGGGGCAGATGTTGCAAGTATAGGGAAATAGGGCAATTATTAAAGCTGTAAATTTTTTTGGGGATAGCAAGCTCAGGTTGGGGTTAAAGAGAGGGAGAAATTTCCTGTAAAAGGGCTTAAACAGGGATGTGTAATGTCCCCAGGGTTTTTAAATATATTATAGATTGGGTTGAAAAAGGGAAAGTAAATCTGGGGTGTTTGGGAAAGGGGGGTGGGATTAAATTTTGGGAATCGAATTCAAATGGAATTTTTACTTTTTTGCTGAACGTCTTATGGGGATCCAAAAGAAAATTGCGAAGGTTAGGGATGATTTTGGGAAGTGTGTAAAGGTTAAAAGTTGAAAGTGAACATGGGAAAGAGTAAGGGAGGGTATCAAATTTTTTAGAAAAGAAAAATTTGGATACAATTGGGGAGGAGTAGTGGAAAATTAATTTTTTTTCAGATCGTACGGGAGTTACGTTGGGCGGATGGTTTTATGGGGGAGAGGCAAAATCGTAAAATTGTTGAGGGGAAAAAAGGGCAGTGGTGTTTTTGAGGTTTTGGGAGTAAAAAAAGTTATCAGGGAGGCAAAAAAGGGAAAAAGTACGAAATATATATACTCTTATATGGGGGAAGTTTGGGGTGGTAAGCACAGCGGGAAAGGGGTTGGGGGCAGTGGGGGTGCCCTTTTTAAAACCCCTTGGGGGTTTTGTCACTAGTACGTCTTACGCGAGGGGTTTTTGACGTCAGACTCGAAATTTTTCTAGCGCCCTCAAACTAGGGGGAAAAGCTGTAGGCCTTCATAGAAAGAATGCATCATGTGGTCAGTGTAAACAAAAAAAACCTGCAGCACACGGGCATAATGAGAAAAAAAAATTTTAAATCCTTTTTTTTTTTAATAAATCACCGACTTTCAGTGTATTTTCGTAAGTATTTATTGTTTGTATTCATTTTCTTGGTCCATTTTATAAAGGGAAGAATATTACTGAAATTGAGAATTTTTGACGGGTTTAAAACAATGAAAGGGCCTTAAAATTGAGTCAAGTGGGCAAAAGTTCGATTTTTCCCAAAATTTCAAAAGAAAACAAATCGTGCCAACGTGCAATACACGTCAACGGGTAGTCTAATTTTTCACAAGTCACCAATAATATTTATACCATTTTTTACACTAAGCAGTGGCCATAACAGTAAATCTTAATTTTTTGTGGAAAAAAATTCAAAGTGGAAAACAAAGAATATAAAAGGGGCCTTGAACTGACTAAAACTAAGGAAATTCATTTTAGTGCCAGGAAGTCTTTTTTTGTTTATTCTGGACCCTATTCCGAAATTGGGATTTTTGAAATTTGTGTGAATTGGCAAAATTGCTAAATTCTGCCACTGTACTGGGTATTGAATTTATAAATGGGGTTTCTTGCCCCATTCGAAGAAAAAATCGAGCTAGCGAAAAATTAATGTTTTTTTCACAGACATGAAATTTGGGCCCAAAATGGGCCCCAAAGGGGCAAAATCGCCGATCCGAAACTCGCCGGGCCCCTAACTTTTCGAAGCATAATTTCCCAAGTTTCTATCAAATTTCAAACTTTGGTGTCATGACGGGAAAGATTTTCCCTTTTTAAAAAAGAAAATAATTTTTTTTTTTTTTAAAATTTGGGCCCCCCGAAACGAGTTTGGAGGGCCTGTCGACCCCAAAGGGTTAAGGGAAAGTGTATGTAAAAAATTTTTGCAGAAATTTGGAGTTGGAAATTTGGGAAAAAAAAAGGGGGGATTTAAAAAAAAAGTATTTTCAAGGGCAAAGAGGGGGTTTGAGGGGGTTTGGTCATTTTGAAGAAAGGGCAAAGTAGAAAACTGGAAAGCAAAATCATAGAAGGAAGGTGGGTAGGGGTCACATAGATAAGGGTAGTAAAGGGGGTTTTGTGGGGGAAGGGGTTTGGACTTTCCCCAAGCTGCGTGAGCGGGGAAAAATTTAATAAATTTTTTTATTGTGCTACTAGCCTCTTTA